CTCCACTGTTCCTGCTCAGCTCTGCTTTGCAAGCCTCTGACACAACTTTAGCAAATTCTGTGCAGCTCTCAACCCCTCCCCCTCTCAATTGTTTAGCAGAGGACCATTAATGATTTTTTTTTTCCACCAGAAATGTGTGCTTATGGGACACTTTGGTATCACCTGGTAACAGTCTCATACACGGTAAGTACTGCAGTGAAATGTGACTTTTTAAAAAATGTAAGAACCCAGGTATGATTTTTGTGTGGATTCTGGGGGTGGGAAGAAGATCTGTAGAGAGATGCTTGATTCGCCTGACTGCAGTTTTAACATTTTTGGTAACACACCACATGTATGCTGCAGGGATACGTGCTAAAATTACCAACATTATTAAAAACATAATAGTATCCATTTCATACGCTCGAAGACCCATTGGCTCTGCAGCTCTAAGAAAAGCAAAAGAAGTTTGCGATTAATGTCAGTGGCATGACTCACTATACTTACCAGATCGATGGAGCTAGAAAATGTCCAAGTCACCTTTCCTAGCTGAAATGTACTTTAAAATGGAAAGCTACTTACAGCTATGCTCATAATGTTTCTTCTCGCTCAGCGTTCACTTGTCATGATCATGGTGCCACAGTACTTCAGTATGCACCAAAACAGCAACTATTGATTTCTGGAGGTAGGAAGGGATACATCTGCATTTTTGACATCAGACAGAGACAAATCCTTCATACGTTCCAAGCCCATGAATCAGCTGTTAAAGCCCTTGCCCTGGACCCTTCTGAAGAATACTTTGCTACAGGCTCAGCGGAAGGTAACATGAAGGTAAGGTTATCAGCATTGGAATCTGAGCTTTTTTCCACTCCTGAATGGTACATTTTAATTATCCAGTAGAACAATGTACTTACTTGATACAAACAATACTGTGTCGACAAGCAAATATGAATAAGTAGATAACATAGAAAACTAACTTGGCTATATTATTTTTTTGTATGTGAGATGTTTTCCCCAAATTTACAATGTACATTTAAAAAATAAAATTCATTTTCTTTCTAACTTTTGTCTTTTCTAGTAAAAAGCCACTCTCAGATGCCTTTTGAATTAATGTCTGCACTTGTATAGGGATAAAGCACAACACATTATGTTGAATTTACTATCCTATTATCCTTTATAAACACTGAGTAGAGGTGCACTGATGCATCAGATCGGTACTGATATGAAGACAATTGTCTATATCGGATATCGGCCCTACGGGTCTGATAATTTGGCTGATAAATGCCCATGCTGTGCACAGCTGCAGCACAGCATGGAACAGAGCCGGCAGCATGGCGAGCTGCCTCCAGCTGGTAAGTCGGAAGGGGCATGGGGGGGCAGATCAAGGCCCCCCGCAGTGAGGGAGGGGGCAGGGGCAGATGCTGCCCTGCCAGTGCAGGGGGGGGATGGGGAATAGTGGCGCAGCTTGTGGGGTTGGGGAGGCTTCCACCGCTGCTTGCAGGGGGGGATGCCCCCACATGTGTGTGGCACGGGGAAGGCGGCACCTGCGGGCTGAAGCCAGAGCTGGCACTGCATGGGGCTTTTCTTGCTAGGGACTGGGCTCAGAGCAGGCTCCAGCAGCTCTGGGAGGAGGCTGCAGCCACCCCAAATTTTGTCACAGCTCTGCTCTCAGCCACATGCCACCACCTGGCCCAGCCCCAACTTTTTCTGGCACTTGGATGGAGGTGGGGCATTCAGCTGGGACTGCAGTGGACGGCGGCACAGGGCTGGGAGCGGAGCTGCAGTGAAATTCGGGGTGGCCAGAGCCCCCTCCCAGCGCCGTTGGAGCCCGCTCTAAGCCCAGCCCCCAGAATGAAAAGCCCCACACAGCGCCGGCTTCAGCTCCACCCCGCAGCTGCCACCCACCCCACGCCACACAGATCTGGGGACACATACCCCCCCTCCCCCCGGGGTGCAAGCAGTGACAGGAGCTGCCCCTACCCCATGAGCCGCACCTCTATCCTGTGTGTCTCCCCGTGCGCCCCTCCCGGCCTTCGGCTGGGCAGCAGCTGCCCCTGCCCTCACTGCAGGGGGCACTGATCTGTGCCCCCATGCCCCTGCCCTCCCCTTCCACCACACTGGACCTACCAACTGATGCCAACTGTATCAGATATCAGATTGGTATTGGCCAGTATGCCTCCTTAAACATGGGCTATTGGTATTGGCCCTCAAAATGTTTATTGGTGCACCCCTAATTCTGAGCTTTTTTTGCCCCCATGTATTCTTTTTCACTGCAACAGTGCTTTTTCAGATGAACACACAGCTCATTGTACTGTATAGCAGCCACAGTAACATCAAATTCCCAATAAGAATACTTGTTACTGGAATTATAGAAGCAGCTAATCATGATCCAGGATGCAAGAGGAAAGGAAACAGAGAGAATGAGAGCAAGTGTTTTGCTTCTTAGCTGAGCTGTATGATATTGTGGCCTTCAGGCCTGATCCTGAATTCATCAGAATTTGCAGGCTCTCCACACTTTGGGGAACTGGTTTCAAGTCAGGAACTTGTATTATACATGTTAATTAGGCACCAGGTCCTCTGTTGCTGTTCTGGACTCCCCTGGCAAAGGAAAAAGTCTCATCTGGTATAAAGTAAGACCGAAGATGAAAGCCAGCTGCTGTACATTTAAAGCAGACCCTAGATTGCTCTAATTTGTGCCAGTACAAGAGCATCTAGAGCAGAGGTTCCCACACTGTGATATGCATACCCCTGGGGGGGATGCAAGACATCTGTGGCGGGTACATGGGAGCAGCTGTGTAATGGCAGATTTAATTTTCACTATAATTGGCATTTAAGGGGTTAACCTATTAAACATATGCTGGTAGGGGAACACAGGAAGCTGGTAAATCAGGAAGGGGATACACAATAAGAAAAAGTTTGGGAACTTCTGATCTAGAGAATCGTGGAACTGCAGTTGCCTCTGGTAGCAGATGCCAAACCAAAATTTAATGGGCTTATTTGAATGTTTTATTCCCTTTCCATCTCATATCCTTTTCTTTTAATACAGGTATGGAGACTAACAGGCTATGGTCTAATTCATTCATTTAAAAACGAACATGCCAAACAGTCCATCTTCAGAAATATCGGAGCTGGAGTCATGCAGATTGAAACAGTTCAAGGCAATCGCATCTTCTCCTGTGGAGCGGATGGCACATTGAAAATGAGGGTTCTACCTAATGCTTTCAACATCCCCATAGGCATTTTTGACCTTCTGTAGATTTATGTGAGCTACTCCTATTTTTACATGAAGTTCTGTTAAATAGCTGAATGTGCATTAAGGAAATGCACACAACTAGCTATTTATGCATTAAGGAATGGAATTACCATATGTTACTTTCAAAGCAATTATTGCAGCATTGAATACTATGTGAAACACAGACAATGACTTGTAAAACAGATGTATTATTTTGAGCATTGCCTACATGGATCAATGGGATGGAAATGCATGTACTGTATTGTACAAACAAAATAAAACCCATTGTAGTCATAGGTGGGTTATTGCTCAGTAACCTACAGCAGGACTCATTTAGCAAACGTACTGTAAAGATGCTAAAAGTTGTCAGTCAGGTACAAGCACTGTGGCTCAAAGTCAGTAAATAGTTTTTAATGTGATTCAGGTTTTATTTTTCTTCCAGTTCTTGCCACTAATTGAAGCATGTCTACAACTTCTCATTCTAAACATAGTTTGGTTTTAATGAAGTATAATCTGAGTATATGAAGGAAGGAAAGTGTAATGGATGCAAAAGCTGTGGAACAGTGTGCAATGAAGAATGTACTATGAGACATGTATTATTTCATGTTGATGTTTTCCCAGTAAGTATTAATATGCAGTTGACACTGTAACTTGCACATAAACACATTTTTAAATTTAAGGTTTTTTATTTTGCACATTGCTTTTTCTTTCTTCTGACAGCTGTGTTTTATATTTTGAGGCCTGCCTTTACATTAGCAATGCGATGTGAACATTAAATGTTTGTAGTGAAGAGAAACACATTTGTAGTTGCTTTTAGTTTTGAAACTCTTGTCTGTTCAGAAAACATTTTTAAAAGACTTCTTTAAATGAAGCTATTTAAGAGAAAACCAATAGAACACCCAGTGCCACAGTTCAGATGAATGTTAGGCTTCATGTGGCCAGCTAGTAAATAGTTGATAAAAACTGGTAATCAAAATTATTACCACAATGTATTGTATAAACTATGCAGAGTTCAATATTGTTTGCTTGTAATATACTAGCCACTGTTGTCATACTTAGATGTATTTTTCCCTGTTGTAAACAAAAACCGTGCTCTTAAGATACTAGAACAGATGTCTGTGTATTTAAATGTTACATCGTCTTACTATTTCAATGAGAAATTTGGTGTCTGTGCTGTATTGTAAAATATAATGGGATAAAATGCACCTTTCTCCAGAGGTGATTTTAATTGCAGGATGTGCAGTATGTATATGAAGGAAAAGTAAATGTCATTTGTTAGTTTTACCTTTGTAAGTTAAATAAATTTCTTTTATTTCATGGACTAGGTTAGTTTCTGTGTTCTCCCTTATCTTGCAGTTAAACAGACTTGTTGAGCCTTCCATGGGTCACATAAAATGTGTACCTGGTCAAGCACTGGGAAAAGGGAGGCGTGCTAGTTCAGTTACTTTTGTTTCTCAAAGCTCTGGAAAAGTGCAAGGTTAACAGAACTGAAATTTGGTTCTGTAATGCACATATCCTATGCTATTTCAGCAGCAACATGATTCCTGGCAGTTGGACGGTGTTCAGAATTCATTGTCCTGCTTGGTCAATACTTGGTGCCTATGCTGAAACTACCTGTAAAACCATTGTCATTGATGAAAACAGGAGACACATTCCTTTGATATGCATCAGAAATCAAATGCTGCCATTATTGCCTTGCATTAAACTTGTCCTACAGGTGAGAAGAAATTCCTACCTCTAATTTTCATACCCCAAAAAAATCCATGGGTCCATTTTTTTTTAAGGCTCTATCATGTGGAATTTAGAGTTTTCATGAAGTCAAAATGAGCAACGCAAAAACAAGTCTCCGTTATTTCTAGTGGAAGGTAAATTAAGCAGATTCAGTAAATCTGATTTTTTTTAAAATATAAAATAAACTTAAAATGGAAAGATCTGGTATAAATCCAAGTGAGCTGGGGGGTGGGGAAGGCAAGGGAGGGGTGTGTGTGTGCATGCGTGCACACTTAAGCAACTGTAACACTAGCCTAACACTCTTTGTCTGAATAGCGAGATTCATTGTACTTAGGTGAAGGGAACTTTCAGCTAAAACTCATAGAAGCAAAAGAATTCAAGAGTTCACAAGTATTAATAAAAAATCGTAAATTGTACAACACAGGTACCATCCTTCATCCAGAAAGAATGAAATGTGCTTTAAAATATAGAGATCACTCCCACCATTTGGAATGCAGCCATTTCTGCAGTTGAGGAGAGCAGCAGCAATAATAATGTTCTACAATGAGAAAGGAAGAGGTTACTCATGTGATACATTTACCATTTTAAAGCAATTTGGAAGCTTACCAGTGCCTTAATCACAGTAATAAAATAATTTTAAACACTTATAAATGTTGGTATTCGATATTGGTTTTTTTATCATGGAAAATCAGAGTTCCCCCTGCCCCTTAGCTCAAAGAATGCAGGTCCCAGCCCCTGACTCCTAAGCCACAGCCCTCCCAAACCTAACCAGGGATTTGGGTTTTCTATTTCCCACAGGAAAACAGAGAAAAATGCAGATTTTCCCCTTCACCTAAGGGAAACACGGATTTTTCATTTTAATGGGAAAATCCATGGATTTTGCACTTTCGCAAAGAGCTCTCTTCAAGCTGGCACAGTTCCAGCCTGCAAGGGGCTGAAGGAGAGCAGGGGGGTCAAGGCAGGGATACTCTGTGCATGCACATGCACATGGCCACGAGGCAGCCTGGAGAGCAGCTCCTGCAGGTAAGTCTTTGACGGGGGAGGGACTGAGTTGGGCAGGGCTGGGACTGCTGCCCAGCTGGGAGGGGTGTGGGGCTTGGGGACTGGAATGTACAGCCACAGGAGTGAGACGGGATAGCGGTGTGTGGCAGCAGTGCAGGGTTGTGCCCTTCACTGCTGCCATGTGGGCAGGGGATGCCTTGTCAGGGCAGCATGGAGTTTGCAGCAGCAAGGCGCTTTCCCACGCAGCCCTGCTCTTCCCAGCCTCCCCAGCTGAGCTACAGAGGCCCCGGGGAGGGCAGCAGGGCAGGCAGCCCGCCCCTGCCCTGCCCACAAATCTGGGGGGGCATGAGTCTTTCCAACCACCTCTGGGAATGTGCGCAGCAGCAAGAAGCCAGCTCCATCCCCTGCCCAAGCCC